GGGAACCAGAAGAGCTAGAAAGCTGAAACTTTAAGGGAATGTTTTCTAACAGTCATGGAGGTCAGTCTCAATTCTCTTGGTCAGAAGCAATTGCCGGAAAAAGCAGTGCCGTTAGTGATAAAAGCTTGCGGGAAACTGTGCAAAAAACGCATTTCCACACCGGCAGTCGGTGCGCTGATTAATTATTTAAGTTGTGAACAATCGAAACCTTTGTGGTAGATACTCAGAGAGGCGAACATCATGTACATCCGTTGCGAAATCCATCTCATACGAGCCACCTTCGATACGTCGAAGGTTAAAGCAAACAACCAGTGTGCCAGCAGTACTTGTAATTCGTGCAAACTGCGAAAATAACGCATCCGCGGTATGGAACGGTGAGTACTGGTACACTATATTCATCTCCAGCACATGCTGAAAAAACCTTCATAATTTTGCATCGTCAACGTCTGATACACGCTCTTCTACAATAACTGTATTACCCAACATGCACGTATAAGTCGCGTTGTTAGCATTCCGTTCATATTGCTACTTCCTGCTCTCGACACTTTTCCACTTCTACATTACAACCTTCTAATCTTTTTCAAACACCCTAAATTTATACTTTTTAAAAAATCCTTCCCGTTCCTATCTTCTTCTTTCTTCTTGCCTTCCATTCCTTCTTCTTATCTCTGAACACTGCGACCGTCAACTGACGAGGTCCAGTCGTGATGTTGAGTTAAGACGTATATGACTTCTTGGACCGAAACATCTTAACTCTCTCGTACTTATTTTCATGTACCAGCAATATTTCTACATCTTGCATTGCATAGCTTGTTCTATTTCTGCAAGTTCTTCATATTGCTTCCATGCTACAATCATGCGATAATCAACTTAGCAATGAAGTCAATTAAATCAGCATATTTCTATAAATCCTCAATATCCCATTAATCCTACTGCGATTTTGGAACGGCAATCTAAAAAAACAGGTATGGGGGGACGAAAAGGGGGGCGGGGGGAGGGCTTCAGTGCATCAAGAATATCTCGAAACAGCCAAAGTTTTGCTATGTGCTCTCAGCTGGAGAACCAATGAACTAATGGCGGATCCAGGTGGCGAGGGACTTCTTGCCTCCTTTCCTCATACTGTTCCTGCTTTATATCCATACGTCTTCCTGCTTTATATCCATACGTTTTAATACGTCTTCGACACTCTGGCATCCAAGGACAATCTGGATGCTACAATCGGCTTAACAAAGTGATAATTTATTAAAACGTATATGAAATAATGGACCGAAATTTCTATGCATATCTAATCGGAACCGCACAATGGGACTCCTAAAATCTGTAGATCACGTAGACATCAAAACAGGCTGTAGAAAATTGCCATTCTCTTGAACTGTTTGGCTTTTCGTCGATCATTTCGCCCTTCTGTTCTCTAAGATTTGAAAGACAAAAGACCACATTTCACTACTGGACTGTAACAGACAAGCTCTATAGGAATTTACCTTATCAATGTGCTGTCTGTCTTCATAGTATGGACGGCGATCCTCCAGAAAAGATGGTGTCGGAACAACAACCTGCAACAAGATTTTGCTGTGAATAACATACTGCCAGCTAAGCAAAAACTCAATTCACGAGCGTAGTGAAGTGGGAATTTTGGGTTTTGCTAAGCACCAGTTAAATGTTATATGTTGGGACAACTTTTCAGGAAAGTGAAGCGCTTCGATGCTGAAGAAGAATTTAAAAAGATTAGAAAAAAGCTCCCGGGCAGCAAGATATCTTGTATCCGCATGCAGCAACGCACAAAACATACCGAAACAACACGAAATATTAAAAACTTTGCTAAATGCCTCTGTCTAGAGAATAAGCAGAGATGGTAATTTTTCAGAAGATAAAACGGGCATCAAGAAATAGCACTGGACAGAATAGACAGATTATCAGCTGCGCTGTTTGAAGGATCTAACTATGAAACACAGTTCACCCAGGCGTTTCAAATACTGCAGGAAAGAGCAAAAATTTTAAAAAACTCGAAATTTCGAAAAAAAAACCGTTCATAAAAGAAATTTGTAAACCAAGATAACTCTTAAAGCTTGAAATATATGAT